AGGACTGGAAATCTTCTCGCTTAAAAGCCTAGAGAGCCACTAACAGTCAGTGATGACAATATTGGGCTAGATGGGCCAATGGTCTGACTAAGTATAAGCTTTCTAGATTCCCATCTGTCCATATTATAAAGCCTTTACATTTTGCAGCCCCTGACAAACATTGTTTTTACATAAAAGGAAAGAGAAGGTAAAAATGCACTAAGGAGAAGACCAACGATCTTCATGCTATATTTGAAGGAGAAGGAGAAGCAATAGACTTGCTGGAGAGAACGAGTTCTGCCCTGAAGAGCTAGTGACAACATAAGCCCTCATCAACTGCTAACTTCAGATGGAATTATGAGATCTACAAATAATGTGCACTTTCTATGCATGCGAGAAGTGTTCCAGAAGCAAGTTCCTAACATAGGCAGAGGTATATTAGGATCTGGAGAGTGACTTGCACAAATTGCACAGCTGGCAGAAAATACCCAAACAATGAGTGATACTTGAATTTGCAAGAAAAAGGCATGGTGAAATATGGTACTCAAATTCTTTATCTGGCCTCCTACATCAGTTTCTAATACCACAGGGAGGAGAAAGTGACTTCCTATTGGATTTTCTTTCCTACTTGTGTCCTATCTATCTTCTTTTACTTATTTGTTTTTCGGCACTGGGCCAAGACCTTTTCATTTAAACACTATTTTAACTGTTAATGATTTATTTTAAATTGACCAGGCTGGGTCCACTATTTCATTTTATGTATTTTATTTTATGTATTTTAATTATTTGATGATTTTATGATTGTAAGCCGCCCTGAGGCTCATGTGATGAGGCGGCATATAAGTTGTTTAAATAAATTAAGTAAGTAAGTAACAATTTATCCATCTAATTTTACTCTCCTAAGTGCAGATTCCAGATTTTCTTTTGGCTCGTATAACTCTATGCCAACTTTAAAAAAGGCAAGATCTGCAATTAAGCAAGATAAAATCTGTTCATTTAATGAATTTATTCATTATTTAAAAGTTATATATTTTGCCTTTCCTTCATGCTGTTCCAATCAACTAAGACCAAGTTACATCAAAACAGACAGCTAATACCCATATAAATCTTAGTTCTAGACAGAGAGAGAATTCTGTATGATGAGCACACAGAGGCAATAGACATATATCAGTATCCTTAGTATTATTCCAACTCTCTTGTCAAACCAGGTAGTAATGTCCTGCTAGCCAAACTCAAATGGAACATGGGAAACAAATACAAAAGTAAACAAGCTAAAGCTGCCTAAGGGAAAGTCAACAAGATGGCAATTTCAATCATTTGGAATAATACTAGAAGAGCCCTAGGCTTTCCTTAGAATGGAAACATGTCACCATTACCACAATGTTTCAACAAATCAGAATGCAAAAGAAAGGAACACTTATGTAATCACATCAGTTGAACAGCACTTTACTCAGCATTTAAATGGGAAATGAAATTTTGTGTATGTGAATATCTTTAAATGAATATTAATTTCTGCAAGGAAAAGAACAGATCTTTTAAAGTTAAGGCAGAAGTTAAGGCACTACTGTAGCACTGAGTTTCCTTTAATAATTTTATACAAATTGTTTTGGAATGATGAAGAACAAGTTACATAAGAAGAAATGCATGAGATTTGGCAAAAGATCTGTTAAGGGACACTCAGTACAAATGATATTTGAAACACCTATCTGCCAGAAAGTTTCAGTAAGATAAACAGCATGTCATATTATTTCACTGAAAAATCAAAAATATTTCAAATATTTAAGGAACTTATCTAATCAGTACATTTTTAGTATGTGTCTAGTCATGTAGCCATCTTTTACTCAATCATCAGAAAATCAAAGGCAAATTGGCATGACTCAACCCAAACTTTAATACCGCATGATTGTATCGTGTAAGCTTGTTTTGTGTGATGGCTGCTGTGGTTTTAGCAGAGAGATTAACGACCGGACCTAAGCTGGCCTCCAAACCTTGCCCTGCTGATGCCTCAAGCCCTTTGAAGTCTGACCATCATACCTGGCAAAACAACAGTGGGAACTAGGCTGGTGTCAGATCTAATCAAGTTGCCTGCTTCAGCATAGCTAACTATGGGGTACACTAATTGGCCCAATTGCGGATTATACCTTTTGCTACAGATTCAAGACAATAATTTAGTCAAATGATGGTTTTTATCTCCTTCTAATTAAGATTCCAAAGTAGGAAGAAATAGGATTAGACAAGCTAACTTCAAAATTCTGAATTTTTTAAGAGATATGCACTTAGAGTTATTCGAATATTTCAGTCTAAGTATAATGCAATGAAATACCAGGTAAACTGACACCTACCAAAACTATCAGGTTTTGATATATACAGTATTATGTCATTTTCACCAAATAGTATATCAATATAGCCATGAATACACAATTTACATCCTGGTGTACAGTACTCTTTGACAAAACTATATGCATTACATACTAGCACTACAAGTCACTTTTTAAAATTCTACTTCTTGACTTCAGTATCAGCATATACCTAATAGCCAAAAGTAATGGACAACATAATATGCCATGTTTATAAATAAATGAATACGAATCACACTATGACACTGAAGCTGCTTGTAAACATGCACACTGTAAAGGAACCCATGAAAACACTAGGTAGCTGTAATAACACAGTAAAAGATTAAAAGGAATGTATTACAACTGTTGTTGTTTGAAAAGCATTGCAAAGTGATAAAAATGTAATTAAAGCAGTTTTGTTCGAAGGAACCAGCAAATTTCTACATCAAGATTTCTAATCCATTTTTCAGAGATATTTAGCTTGTTTTCAACATAAACATATACATGCCCTGAGACTTGCCTACAACATTCACCCTCTGTATTCAACCCTCTGGAAGAACATTTTCAATTATTTTCTTTCTATTCTCGTTTAAAATGACATATATCTATTAAAAAATCTGCTGTGGGATACCATCTATACTGCTTGCTATTTATTTCCAATCTGTATCACGAAATTATTTTTTCTTCATCAAATTATTAAATCTAGCATTTTAGTCAACCATCTCTGTGATAAAGCATTCTTTTATTATCTTACACTAAAATATTTTTGCGGTTTAAAACCACGGGTAGAAAAACAGAAGTGTAGAGTAATGCTACATTTTTTTAAAAGACTGTCATGTTAGGAAACGGTAGAATTCTCTCTAGAATGGAGGCAAATTATAAGGGAACCGACTTTAACAATGAGGCTTGAAATTATTCAAGTAGGTCATCTATGCATCTCTACAGTTTCTTTTCCAAAGGGTCCTTAACAGTGCTAAATAAAATGCCTTTACCCTTGGGCTGCATCAATTCTTTATAGTGGGCCACTGGGTTTTAAATTGCAGCAGTGGAAAACAGGAACCAGAAATTTTATTGACAGAGGAAACATCTTCTGATATAAGCTTCATTGTGGAAGAAAAAAATAAAAATATTTTAATTCAAAGATATAGTAAATGGAAATTAAATATAGTTGGAAAATATTCTGCCTGTTTGTCTGCATCAGTGAAAACAATTACAGTTTCTGCATTTTAGACTCTGGCATGAATATTAAAGTCTTTTATTCTTGTGATTCAGAAGATGAATAGCCTTTTGATGAAGTGAAATTATGTTAAAATGGAGTACACTAGTATAGTGTTTAGCTCCATTAAATGTATTATATTTGAGAACTGAAAAAACCACAGAGGAATCACCATATCTTAAAAGAAGAAAGACACAATAATTTTCACATTATATTTGGCTTTAAGTGGCTTTTGTAGTGAGCATCTCTACTTGAGAAACTTCAAGTACTCATGCAGAAATGACCTGGCTGAAAAACTGGCTTCTTGATTAACTATTAACTACTTTCAATAGGACTAGATAATTAAGGACATTGATGACCATTATTAGGAGGAGGGCACTTTAATTTGTCACTTGATAGGCTCCTTTCAACAATTTATAGGTTAGTGCAACTTGCAATTGTAGAGAGAGGAGGGAGAGACAGAAAGAGAACTCTTAAGTTACCTTATCAAGTGGCCAGCTATGGAGGGCAGAGGGTCAAATAAGGGCCAAAGTGGTCACTTAAGGGTGAAATCCCAAACACCAAAGCAGTGCCAAGCCACATTGACCATCATTTGGTGATGAAGCAAAAAATATGCTAATATATTGGTGGCAATTCTTCCTTTTATGGTTTCAAGCAGTTAAGACAAGTAGCCTGCTTAACAGCTTTTCACTGGAAAAGAGATTAAACTAAATGATTTGTCAGGGCTGCTTGGCTGTTTTATGTCTTTGTTTAAAAGCTGCAAAGACTGTACTGATCACTATCCCATCACCCTCAAAGCCATCTTTTTTCATCCTTCAGCATTTACTTTGTTAATAAATACATCAGTCCTAATTGCTCAATAGTTTTATATTCATCTGCTCTTTAGCAAGACTAAAACTAAATAATCTTTTGTATTATTCTATGTGGATTGTCTGTATCAAAGGTCAGGGGGAAAAAGTTTAAATTTGGTAGAAAATTTACTTAAGGACATTAGTGTAAATGATACTGTATTTAAAATGACACACAGGAGCTAAAGGTGATTCCAGTAATGCGAAGGATGAATACTGATAAGGACATTTATCCCTCATACCATAATCAGTTTTGGGCAGCATTACACATTAAAACCCCTTAACTATAGTAATAACATGTAGACATTTTTCTACTCACTAACACAAGCAAGAGCAAATCATTAACATTTAATTAAACATGCTCCTGACATCTTTCGAAATATGTATGTCATGCTTTGTTATTGAAGATTGTGGCCTACTTTTTACAAATTCATTTAAAAATAAAATGTATTGTTTCTGCATGCTCTAATTTTTGTAAGCAGAAAGGTAAAGGTATTTTATAAAACCAGTGCAACCCCAACAAAAACACTATGTCACAGCTGATGCAAATTCAATGTTGTTCAACATTTAAGACAAGATTCCATCTTGCATACAGTAGAGTACTGCATATAAAAAACTTACCTCAATAATAAATAGCTTCTTTTTCACTCTAAAAGCAAGGTCCTTCATGTCTGAGACATCACAGATCAAGCTATTAAGCAGCGGAATCTGGCGTATGTGAATCAAACCTTGTGAAAAGGAAAAGTAAAGGAGGAAAAGAATTAAGAAAATGCTGATATCCAGATGCGTAAATTAATGTCTTACAGCAGAATTCAGTATATTTACACGCACTCATCCTCCCCTTTTTAAACTGGAGCTTACAACCAGGAGCAATGAAGCAAACGGTGCGATTATACTCAAGTAATCAAGCAGAATAAGATAAACAGAAATCCTTGTGCGAGGAAAACTAATTGCACTTTGGTACTGAGGTACAGATGTAAAGAGGGATCTTAATACTTGTCAAAACTACAGCCGGTTTGTGTGTGATTTTCTCTTGTATTTACAGTAAGCAAATATGGCTATCACCTTGCATGCTGCCCACGGCACCACTGAGTGATCTTTATTTTATTAAATGCACCAGTAAGCAGCCAGCAAAGCAAGGCTCATGGGTTACTGATAACCAGTGGAGTTCTAATGAAAAGTATTTTGTTTTGCACCTTGATAATTACTTTTTAAAAACTCTTGAGGGAACCGGATTTGTAGAATATATTGCGAGATACATTCTAACCGGTATGTAAACACAACACAATTTATTTTTTGCATGTGAGATGTCCATTGAGCTTACTGGAATTTTATAACAATACTAGGCACACTGCAAGCGCTGCACTCTGTCAGTTGAGTCTCAAGCTGATTTCTTTTGACAAGGACGCTGGATGGTTTCTGTGTAGCTTAATATAGTTCCTGAACAACTGAAGGGTCATTTTCCACAAAGGAAAATGAAAAATATTTTACAAGAAATTACAGTTAAAGCTTACATTAGTTTTATGTTAGTTTTAAATCTAATGAATAAAGGTAAAAATATTGGTCAATTCAAATGACACGTCAAGAAGTCCTAATTTTTGTAATGAACAGCCCTTTCAAATATGAAATAGCATTCAGATGTCATTTTAACAGTGAAATTATACAGACTATTATACAAAATCAGAACTTTAAGATTAAGATCTTTTAAATAATCTGAAATAATGTTATAATTGACATTTTTCCTAAATGATTCTATAGTATTTTTTGTAAAAGTCAATGTAAATGTAATATATACCTTATGTACCATTTTACTTACAAAAATCAGATGGGATATTGATCAGACTTTTGCAATACATTGCCCCTGAACTACCTGAATTTATCATGACTAATTCCTATCTAGGCCAAGGTAAAGGAATGTTTTATTGCTTTCAATGGAACTCAGTTATGACTGATTTTAACTGGAGTAGCTCCATTATTTGAAAGTAGGTCAATTATTTTAATCATTATTTTAATGAAAGTTGATTCCATCTAACAGACACAATTCAAAAGTAGGTATTTTTGTGTGAATAATGCCACATATGCAGCTAGACATTCCTTTGACATTTTCTCTGAAGCAGCTTCCAGTTTTAGCTTGTACCTTTCAACTGGGAGCTACTGTAGAGAAAACCTGGAAAGAAAGTGTTGGTCTTATTTGATCATTTACTATCTCTTTAGAAATAAAGCCAGCATATTTACAATTGGGGTAGAAGAACATCATAGATGTGTTTTATGTGATTGGGTTAATAATATAACCAAATATACCAAATGTCTATTTTCACCAGGGACAATATGCATTTTTGACATCTGTTAGTGGTAAAACATTGTTTATACTTCTGGAGAAATATAGAGACACCTTTCTGGAATGTTCTTATTATGCCTAACATATATTGTTGAATGTTCAATTATTTTATACTAAATACAAATTTAATCTATTATAAGAGTAAACACTCTACTAAATATGCATATGTTTTAAGACAGGTACTCTGCTTATGCCCAGTTTATTAACAAATAGTACTACAAAAACTTAAATTAAAGCAGCAGACTGAGAAGGACCTCCAGCAAAGTGAAGTATATGTGTGCTTGTTAAGGCAATGAACTTTGGTGTGAAGGTCTACAAATGTGCTCCTATTCTTTTTAAGGAGACACTGGAGAACACCTGCAGCCTATCAAACTGCAGTCATCTGATAGCATACAGACATTTTTAAAGTTAAATTAATACAACCACTAATGAAAAGTTTTCATTCTTTTTATTGGAGAAAACACCTCCCTTCCAAATGAGCCATATAAACACAAGTACATTCCTGAAATGTTTGTGCAAGTCTCTATACATATAAGAACAAACTTTAGAAGAATAAAAAAACTGATATGCAAAAAAGTATTGATAAGAGTAAGAATTCATTATAAAGAAGATCAAGAACACAATTCTGCACAAAAGCTACAAGAATGGAATATGGAATATACTTGCTTCTAATATATTGACTATTAAAATATATTAAAAATAAATATATTAATATATTGACTATTAAAAAGAGACACACCATATTTAATTTGCATTACACACCGATACCACATAGGCCCAGTAAAACTGGGGAAAATAGGCATATCTTTTTTTAAAGTATATTTATTTTTGTGACTCACTATCTTACTTGAGAAAATCATCCTCTAATATAACAACATATAGCCTTAACATATTGAAGCAAAGGAGGTACCACTGGATCATATACACTGTCTTTTCTCATCTAATAGAAAACAGTATTCTCACATTTTTATTACACTAGGATTCATATAAGCAGATCAGTCTTTGGATGGGAGGCTCCTATGGAACTACAGTAATGCATAATAGTAAGAGCAGCAATCATGCAACCTCAAGGCTGCATCCTGGATTAACTAAAACTGTCATTCAGAGTTTAGTCTCTTGGGCTGCAAAGCTCTGCAACCTGATTTGGGGCTAAATCTATTTTTTTAACTCTATGGGGTTTACTTCTGAGTAGATACATGTAGGACTGTACTTTAACTTCTTTTAAATGTTCCAACAGTGTTCCAAAATTATTTTCTAAGATATTGTACAATTATTTACACAAAACCCCTACATTATTAAGCCTTCTTAATGATAATGCATTAAAAGTTTAGTAAAATACATTTCTACAGCAAAAGTGCTGTAGACTACTTTATATATGTTTTATATGTTTTAAACACCACTGTAGACTACTCTTCTGCCATTGAAAAACATACCTTAATTAAAATCAAGCAATTAATTAGTAATCTTCAGAAAAAAGTTATCCCTTTGTGTGGTATCATTTAGCTGTCTGTTCACTGAAATATAACTGTTCTTCATGTTCTCTATTTAGAACTTGGCAGATCAAAACTATTGATTTCATGACAATTTCAGCTCACTGGTCAGACCATTGCCAAGCCTCCTCCGCATGTGAATTCCCCAAAGCCTGCCTGTTGAGATGTACATCTGATTGAGCCATGCCTTGATAATATGGCTTGACAACATGCAAGAATTTGCCATGTTTCCTTTGCAGCATTTATGCACTTTAGTGAAAAACTGTCTAAGATTGGTTAGCAAGGTGAACCATTTAAGAGACCTATTCCAAAATGAAATCAAATGCTACTTTATGGCAGATATTCCAACTGGAGGGTAAACTGCTAAGTGCCCTAGAAACACTTAGGGCAGACTTTTTGCATTGCTAAGGATGGAACTTACCATGATAATCCTTGTATAATGGATTGGTTTCTCTCTCAGAGCCGATAAATGATTCAAGACCAACTACCGTATCTGACAAGTTTGTAACACGTTCCATAATTGCTTTATTCTGTAAAACATGGAAGCAAAATGCACAACTTATGTGATGAAAAAGGTAATTAAGGTTCAAAACAATTTTGTTTTCTCAATGACAAATTGAAGGAAAAATGGGGCATCAATATGTAGAAATTATTGAGAATGTGTCTGTTAATCCACATCTAAGGAAAATGATACTACTTTCCTCCCTCTTAGAAGGGACTATAACATTTTCTTCTGTAATGTTTATTGTTAAAGCTTTCACACAATTTGTAAAATACATAACATATACATACATAAAATGCAATCCAACCAATGTGGGCATTTTTTAGTCATATTGATTTCAATGGGAGAATTGAACATAAACAGGTACAGTGTAGCAGATTTTGTCATATCCTTCCTATATTTAACATTATGATTCTTGAATTTAAAGTAGGATTACACAACTGCTTGTCCCTGAAGGCAACCTCAGGTGTCTGTTGAGGTACTTAGGGCTGCACATGCATACGTACATACAACTCTCTCTCCCTCTCTCTCTCACTCACACCCCCCCCCCCCCCCCCCCACACACCTCACACTTACACCCATATTCCACTACTGTCCAAGAGCATTTCAGAGGCCTGGCACCTGCTTTGAACAGATAAAACCAATGTTCTTTCCAGAGACCTCACATTACCCTAGTTTCTAGCTCCTTTCCTTCCTCCTCCTTTCATGCCCCAAGTTCTTGTTGATTGATCCTGAGATCCCATACTGAGTTACCAAGACATTTTTCAGAAAAAAGGGGGATGCAAAAAGAACACAATACGAACAGACTCTGTGCCATTGATACCCTGATCCTAGAGTATTGTAGGAAGTAGACAGGATTGCTAGGAAGCTCCAGCTACACTCTAGGAATGGCTTCTGTTACAGGGACCAGAGAACCCATTGCTCACACTTTACACATTTTGAAGCCCTGCTTAAGAGATGAAAACATCAAACGGCTGTTAATACCTTTCAAAGTATTTTGCATAGATTAAGGGTGGCAGAAACAGTTTTCAGTTTCTTCTGATGCATGCACACACACAATCGGGAAGCACTAATTTTCCAGGAAAGGAAGTGGGGGATCTGAACACCTTCTTCCCTCTCCTCCTTCAGTAGCGACCTGACCAACCATATATTTAATAGGAGATGGTGGCAGAAATTGAATCCCTCAAGCAGACATTTGTTTATCCTATTGTCTTGTTTACAGAGCTAGATATATTAGGATCTGATCAAGGGTGGCATAATATAAAATTACACAGTTCAAAAGTCTATTTTCACAAAGCACAGCTATTCACATAACGGCAAGTGATACAACCTGACCACACCATGCTACATGTTGAGAGCAGGGACATGACGATGCAATGCTCCGTGAACAACCACATTAACTGCCTCCCCGCAAACCAATGCCAATTTAAGCATTAGGCAAAAATTATCCATTGATGTTAGGCGGAGCTATTTCACTCTGTTAAATATTATGTCTCGTAAAGACTCGCTCTGGAGAACAGGCTAAACTTGTTGCCCCAGAGAAAAAGAAGGTGACTGGAGGCAGGGCTGTTACCAGTATGCCACCTTAAAAAAAGTAAATACAAAGAATGTGCACAAATTTTGACATTTTTTTAAAAAATCAATTGGACTTGAAATAGTGCAGAGGCATGCACTTGTGGAAATCCAAAATGGGAAAACCTTGGCTGGGAAATGTTCTTGGAAGTCTCTGCTGTCCAACTGCACTAGGAACCAAGCATGGACCTTGACTTAGAGAGGCGGCCAAAAGGTCCACTTTTTACTTTGTGTTCTTGTGACAGCTGTCAAAAGGTGAGCTACCAAGGAAAAGCTCTATGTGACCTTCGCTTGCAAAAGGAGATGGCCATTAGAACATGCTCAACTAGTGAGATCCTCTATGTTGAGGGGTGGGGTAATTAGACTAGACTCTTTTCAGCATCCTTGCACTTTTCCATGCTTTTCCAAGACTCAGCATGCTCTTGAAAGAAGAAAAGTGTGAGCTAGCCCATTTATGGAGGTTTGGCAGCTGTTACAGTTGTTATTTTTAAAACAAGGCCAACCATTGGATTTTAAAAACAGGTTTTTGACAGTTAGCTGTCAAAATGCAGCAATCCCATAACATTTCCAGCTTCTTGAGCACCCAGAATCTTGAGAAAGGGTAAAAAGCACAAAGGCATTGGGAACAGTCAGGTCAACCAAAAACAAACAAAATAAATCTAGGGGATCTCACTGCCTAGACAAATTCAATTTGCCAACCCATGGATGACCAAGGTTTACAGGCTCTCTGGGTCAATGACCAAAGTTGATTGCTGCTGCACTTTGACAACATACAAATCCCAGGTTATTGCCCAGGCAAGGCTTCCCATTTTGGACCATCACAAATATATACCTCCATATTTGCACACGTCTCTCTCTTCTCTGTGTAAACTTTTTTTTGCTAAAACAATGAAAATGGGTGGTGAATCAGAGACAGTGCTTCCAATATGATGCCCATTTTCAACTCAGATAGTAAAAGGAAATTTTTGAGGAGAAAACAGTGAGTAAAAACAGGCTCATGATCACAGCAGGGAGATAAAGGTAGTTTTAGCTGCCCAGTGCCCTGGGATACAAACTGGAGGACTGAGGGGGAAGGAGGTAGGAGATAACCCACAGTGAGCTCAGTCATTTTCCAGATACACCATATTTTGTTCTGTGAACGACACACTTACTGTTGCTTATTTGTGGAGTGGGTTAGTATGGTGTTTGAATATGGCCCATTGTATCTGATATAATGTATCTAATGGCTTTACAGAATGAAAACAATAATTATAGACCCTCCCCCTTTATACAGTCAGTTAAAACACGCATGGGCACACTTGTTCATAAGTCACCATCCCTATTTCAACAACCATTTGAGTTACAGTTCTTTATACTGATTCCTGTCTGACTTCAACCTTTTTGAATGATGATTAAACAAGGCTTACCTACCGATATAAAAATAAGCTAATGATCTGCATTTGTACCTTACTGATAATTTATTTGCTCTGATCAGCCACTTAGAGGATAACTTGATCTTCTCTTGTTTCTGGGAAAGAACCAGACAATAGGAAGATAGCAGAGTGAATTCCCCACTCCATCCCCCTCCATCCTCCTATTTATGTGCCCTAGATGGCTGCAAGAGTGCAAAGCCCATCCTTCCCATCATTGCTCTGGCCTCCTGGATGCTGTCTAGCTTCTCACTGGTCCAGGCATTGAAGATTTCCTAACCATCAAAGGGCATCTCTTCAGTGCATGGAAAAGGCTTGCTGCCTGGAGCCAGGCATGCTGCTGAATCAACACTGCACTGACAGGGGCCCTGGAGTCACAGTTGATGTGGTGATGAGTGGTGTTAATGTGCTGTCTTAGACAGCCTGATGGCATCAGCATGGAACACCCTAGCCAATTCATCAAGTTTTTCTGGAAGAAACCCAGTTTGGGTGTCCATCTTCTTCCATAGCAAGACTTGATATCTTTCCATGGTGACCTCATACTTTGAAGTGCGAAGGCCAGTCCCATTGCCACATATATCCTCCTCACTATGGCATCCAAATGGTATCCCTCTCAATATACTGGGGTGGTTCACTCCCTTTGTGCACAACCCTGTGTCAACTCTATGATGATGGAATTTGGTTGTGGATGGTGTAGTAGGAATGGGAAGTCCCTCTCCTGTACCAAGGAAAGGCTCTCCAAACAGCAGGATGTTGGTTGTGGCTGTGTCAGCATCTTCCATGGTTCCCTCATGGATTGGAGGAGCGTTAGATGGAAAGGAATGGCTACTGACACCACATCCTCTGTCTGGACAATGGCATATATTGGATCCACTGGTGGCTCTGTAAGTTTTTGGGTCTCCATCCCAAGTGACAATGCCATCCAGAGATACCATCTTTTTGGAGAACCTCCCCAGGTCTTTGGAGGAGGATCCTAGACCTTGTGCCAAATGACATCCTCAGCTGATGTTGACACTGGGTCAGTAGAGCAGCAGTAGACTGGAATCTGACCTATAATAGGCTGGATCTGAGGAAGAGGATCAATCAGACAGTGAGGAAGGTTGTTGAGGTAGAACCAACTGGGTATGGGCAGGTGGCTGATGCGTAGGAACTTTTGGCTGCAGAGGAGGAACTGACGGTTGGTATGCAGGAACTGCCAATGGAGCTGAAGAAACCAGAGGCAGGGTCATAGGAATTGGTACCCACAGTTCCTCTGGATCATGGGTCCTCAAACAATGGCCCATGAGCTGGATCTGGCCCACCATGCTCATTTATCCAGCCCACCTCAGAGGTTTTGGACTCACTTGGAGAAAACAATCTCCAAGCGAGTCCAAATACTCTGAGCCGGTGCAGGTGTTCTCAGAAACTGAGCAGAGAGCTGGCGCATGGGCCAAATTGCAATGGCTCAACTGCGCATGCGCTGCCTCCCCCTCCCCCATTGCATGCATATACAGAGCGGGAATACAGAGCGGGAAACAGAGGAGAGGCGGGCGGAAGAGAAAGAGAGATGAAGACGAAGTAACTAAAAAAGGATTGAAGGTAAGAAAAATATAACTTTTAAAACCTATTTTTAATTATGTGAGGCCAGGGGCGGCCAGGCCACACGGCCTTCTCCGAGGAAGCAAGCTGCCGCCACCACCTCACCGAGCCTGGGGTGGACAGGCTGAGGTGGAGCGGCTTACTTGAAGAAAGCCGCGGTGGAGAAAGCTTACTTGGAGAAAGCCATGGGGCTCCCGCGCCTCTGCTGTGGCCTTCTCTGAGCAAGCGAGCAAACATTTAATTTTTAATTAATTTTAAAAATGTTAATTAATTTTTAAATTTATTTTAATTTTAATTAATTTTTTAATGTGCAGTGTGCACAGGAATTCATTCATTTTTTTTTCAAACTATAGTCTGGCCCCCCAACAGTCTGAGGGACAGTGAACTGGCCCCCTGTTGAAAAAGTCTGAGGACCCCTGCTCTGGATGATGAGGGGCTTCACTGGTAATAATGTGGGTACATCCTCTGC